TGAAGTGCCAGCTGGCCCACGGCGCCACCACCGAGCTGCTCACCGCCACAGTCCGCAAGGGTCCTCCCCTGCGTGGCCACCCGGTGTTCGCCGCCAACCGCCGCATCCGGCCCCACAGCGACGACTTGTGCCAGATCCGCCTGGATCAGACCACGGAGTCCCCGCGAGCCCTCAAGACTTACCGCCTGCGTGTGTTGGACTTCCAGCGTTGTCCCGTGGACCTCGAAGAGGTAAGCTACTATACCTGAGAGTCGTCTTCCTTAATTTTCCGCACCCACAGAAGTTTGATGCACAGTTCTGTTTCATGTTTGAAGCATACATACTGGCTGCCTTTATCCTCACAAGCGATTGTACAAATTCTATCACATCTGCCTTCACACGACATTCAAAAAGGCAATTCAGCATTAAGGCCTCTGTCAAAATGCTTTTGATTAAATTTAAAATCAGTAATGTCAACATCTTATATACTAGCCACGTGACCCGGGCAACGCCCCGAGTTTACCCATGGTAGACATATTGTATATATGATGTAATAATAAAATTGTGTCGGCTTATTATTATTTAAGATATTTTGTTGAGAGATTAATTACTGGTTCTTTTGAGTACATGAGTAGGTAATGGTATTGTTTGCAGTCGTGTCATCTTAAAAGAAAATCAGAAGAATAATTATTGACTATCAAGTAGTTTTATTTTCAATTACTTGAAGAACATTATAATGAAACATTTTTCACAGTAATATAGAATTTATAGAATGATCATATTTAGACAAAAAAATCAAGGGGAATGAAAACAAAAGTTAAGAGTTTAAAATAAAATTGGTAATTACAAAATAATTAATAAACAAAATCAAAATGTCTATAGAAATAATTACTAATTAAACAATAAAAATCAGTGTCAAAATATTTTTAAAATAAACAAAAGAAAGTTTGTTCATAAATATTTATATATTTAGGAAATTATTATAAATGTGTCTATGTGATAACCGAGGGTCTCTCGCTGTGGCGTGGTAACCGAGAGGGACAGTCAGGGCGTGGAAAGTTTTCCAGTACCTCTCTGCACCTTGAAAGACCTTTAACAGTTTTCACAGAGTAAAGGCAGTCGTGGTCGAGGCAGAGTGGAAAGCTTGGGAATGTCCACACACAAAAAAAAAACTAAGAGACACAGTAGTAGTAGGAAAGTTCCGTGAACAGATAAAAGTCGAGCTGAGAGCAAGATGGAGATAGAAGAGTTCTTACTGTTCTACATGGTCGATGAGGTGGACCTGGGTACAACCGACGAGGGCACACGCTGATGGTGAAGTGACATTTTTTTCGGCTAGGGCAGAGGTCTTATATATCTTTGCCGAGAAAGGAGGTATGCGGGAGTTTGGACTTTGAGCGAGTGCAAAGGGCGTGGGGCGTCAGCGATATTCTACACCCTTTGACCTGATGGTAACGACCTGCCAAATTCCTCTTTAGGGTTGTTGGACTTCTATCTCTATCTCTTGCTTAGCTCAGCTCTTTATCTATTACATAGTTTTATTTATTCATCCTCGGTTTGTACAAAGTACATTACATATGATGATGTAATGACACATGTCAATCAGGCGTATAATTATTTACAGATGTGTTTCTATATACAACATGACACAATCTTGTTATAAGTATTATACAATATAGGGTTGTTGGTTTAAATTACCATATCTATATATTGTGATAGATTTATATAAAATTTTAGATGAAGCAACAAAAAAGGTATTTAAAATATAAGTAATTATGTCATTATACTAGTTATATTTCAAATTATTAAAAGGCAGCAGAAAATGTTTATTTCTGCCCAAATCATAATTTGAAATGATTTATTTCTAAAATATTAACATTTAAATGTATGTGAAATAATATATAGTGGTAGTTGTTAATAATAGTTGGATAATAAAGATAGAAGGAGTGACATTAAGTATATTTTGTTATCATAAGATTTGGTGCTGATATTTAAAAATGATTTGACAAAAAGGCATTTAGCTATAAAACAAATAACGTTTGAAACTATTGAAAAGCATGGGTGAGAATTATAAAAGTTGAAATTTGGTAAATTTTGTAAAATGGTAGTTACAGAGTACCTTGGAAAGGATGATGCTGGCTGGAGTTGATTGTAGATGGTTATGGTTGATTGTTGAAGACTATTGTTGATTGTAGATAGCTAATGAATATTGTTAATTGTAGATGGATATGGTTAATTGTAGGTGGAAATGGTTGTTTGTTTAAATATGGCTAGGTTGGTTGATGTAGGCTATGTTTGATTAGGATGCTCATTGTTAGCCGGATATTTACATTGTTGTTTGGAAATTGCTATGGTTGGAGATGAATATGGTTGGTTGAGTATTTTCATATTTAAAAATAAGATATTTTCGCTTTTGACATTTTGAACGAATAAACAGGTGAAATCCTGTCTGCTTCTGTTATAATAATAAATTTATGTCGGCTTACTATTATATTAAGATATTTTGTTGAGATGAGAGATTAATTGCTGGTTCTTTTGAGTACATGAGTACGTAATGGTATTGTTTGCAGTCGTGTAATCTTGAAAGAAAAGCAGAAGAATAATTTTTAATATCAAGTAGTTTTATTTTAAATTACTTGAAGAAAATTACAATGAAACATTTTTCACATTTATATAGAACTAGCGAATGTTCCCGGCTTCGCCCGGTTTTTACCCGAGTAAAAGTTTGCCTAAAGAATATTTGTTAAAACGATTCTAGAAAACATCCAATCATCTATATATAGATTTAAAAACGTATATAAAATTGTTATATGCTTTTAAATATATTTTTGAAAAACATACTTTTTTTGAAAACATTTATTAAATTTTAAATAAGATATTTTCTTTAAATATATATTAATATTTAAATGCCAAGTTTTTTTACAACGTCATTGGAATATTATGTTACTAAATCCTCAAATTAAATATTAAATTTTTTATACTTGGAACACATTTTAGCATTTTTACAATTTATAAATGTAATTTCACCAGATACCGCGAGAGGCGCTGCTTGTGAGTGAAAGTAGAAAATTTGCAAATAAAATTGCAACGAATATTTATTTCAAATCAAATTCAAACCAGAAACCTTCCCAGTAGTATAGTAAATAACTTCCTAAAGTTTCACGGCGATTGGATAATCTTACCTTTTAAAAACATTCATCGTGTAAACAAACTAACATTAATCGTGTAAACAAACTAACATTAATCGTGTAAACAAACTACGTGTAAAATTATTAATTAATCAAATTCATTTATCGTCGCGACCTGTGCTGCGCCAAGCGGTAAAAGGCTGGAACTAACGCTTTTTGGTTTTACATTTAAAAAAAAAGCACATTAACCTTTTTGGTTTTTTAAATAGCCTATATGTTAAACGAAATCTTCAGCTACCTACATGCGAAAATTCATAATGATTGATTCTGTATATTTTGAGCAACGCGATAACAAACATCGATTTTGGATTTCATTTTATAGATATAAAAGAATTTATGGAATGAATTATTTATGAGTTTTTAAAATAGATGAGTGTTAACTGCACATTTACAACAAATAAAAAAGTGGTATATTCTAAATTTATTGTCTAAATAAATTGTGTATATATATGTTATGAATATTTTGTTGTTGTTGTTAGATAAAGGGTTGATAAGACAAAGGATCGATAAGATAAAGGGTTGGTACAGTCGTGATAAAAAAAAAAGATAATTATTTACCGTCAAGTAGCTTTTATTTTCAATTACTTGAGGAAAGATTACATATTAGTTATTTTCACATTATATAGAATTTATAAAGTTAATCCTATATTAGTGATTAAAAGTGATTTAAAAGGATAGATATGTTAACTACGCATATTTACAACAAAACTATATACAACAAAAACTGAAAGTCTTTCTAAAAACAATGGTAACAAAAGTAAAATTATCAATGAATAAAATAAAATATATATTTTTTAAAATATAGAAATATTTGAGTTTTTAGATTATATGATATATATATGGTAGACATATTATATATATATATATGGTAGACCTATTGTATATATATGGTTTTTGTGCGTTCGCTCAGATTGGAAAGATCTTTTCTTAGTAACGTTCATTTCGATAATTTCAAGTGACAGCAAGTAATGTGATCGACGTGAACTGTGTGTCAGGAGGGAATCAATGTAAAAATATATAAAATTACCTTTATCTCTACAACGTGACAAAGCCAGATTGGTCAGGCCCTCAAAGATCAACTGCTGTCCAGGGCACGGTGAGCGTGCGGCTGTGGTTCCCCGAGCTGGACGGGCTGGTGACAGCGGGGGACCAGGACGTGGTCATAGTGTGCCGACCCCCCGAGCCCACCGTCACCCAGACCAAAGCTGCCTCTTACTTCGGCCAAATGTAACTTGGAACCTAGTTTTGTTTTACCCTGAGTAGATGATGTTTGAAGGATGAATTAGTTTCTAGTCACCTAAGTAAATCTCTGTTCTTATATTGGGATTTCATAAAAACATTACTAATTTTTATCCAATTTAAATATTTAAAATACAATATAACGCGGCTGATGATTGTAAAACGAAAATTAAAATTATACCGCGAATGTTTCTTTTAAAAATCGAAATTTATTTTCAAAGAGAAATAGCGACATTTCTAACTTTGAGGATGAGGTATGGAAAGGTGAAACATGAAGAGTAATGGAGAACGGAAAAATAAAAAGTGTCCAGGGGCGGGAATCGAACCCACACCCTTCTGCTTACCGGGCAGGTGCCTTGTCCACTCGGCTACCCTGGACGTATTTTTCCGTTCATAACTTATATTTAAAGTAACATTTAAAATACAATATAACGCGGCTGATGATTGTAAAACGAAAATTAAAATTATACCGCGAATGTTTCTTTTAAAAATCGAAATTTATTTTCAAAGAGAAATAGCGACATTTCTAACTTTGAGGATGAGGTATGGAAAGGTGAAACATGAAGAGTAATGGAGAACGGAAAAATAAAAAGTGTCCAGGGGCGGGAATCGAACCCACACCCTTCTGCTTACCGGGCAGGTGCCACTCGGCTACCCTGGACGTATTTTTCCGTTCATAACTTATATTTAAAGTAACATTTAAAATACAATATAACGCGGCTGATGATTGTAAAACGAAAATTAAAATTATACCGCGAATGTTTCTTTTAAAAATCGAAATTTATTTTCAAAGAGAAATAGCGACATTTCTAACTTTGAGGATGAGGTATGGAAAGGTGAAACATGAAGAGTAATGGAGAACGGAAAAATAAAAAGTGTCCAGGGGCGGGAATCGAACCCACACCCTTCTGCTTACCGGGCAGGTGCCTTGTCCACTCGGCTACCCTGGACGTATTTTTCCGTTCATAACTTATATTTAAAGTAACATTTAAAATACAATATAACGCGGCTGATGATTGTAAAACGAAAATTAAAATTATACCGCGAATGTTTCTTTTAAAAATCGAAATTTATTTTCAAAGAGAAATAGCGACATTTCTAACTTTGAGGATGAGGTATGGAAAGGTGAAACATGAAGAGTAATGGAGAACGGAAAATCATCAGCCGCGTTATATTGTATTTTAAATGTTACTTTAAATATAAGTTATGAACGGAAAAATACGTCCAGGGTAGCCGAGTGGACAAGGCACCTGCCCGGTAAGCAGAAGGGTGTGGGTTCGATTCCCGCCCCTGGACACTTTTTATTTTTCCGTTCTCCATTACTCTTCATGTTTCACCTTTCCATACCTCATCCTCAAAGTTAGAAATGTCGCTATTTCTCTTTGAAAATAAATTTCGATTTTTAAAAGAAACATTCGCGGTATAATTTTAATTTTCGTTTTACAATCATCCGCCGCGTTATATTGTATTTTAAATGTTACTTTAAATATAAGTTATGAACGGAAAAATACGTCCAGGGTAGCCGAGTGGACAAGGCACCTGCCCGGTAAGCAGAAGGGTGTGGGTTCGATTCCCGCCCCTGGACACTTTTTATTTTTCCGTTCTCCATTACTCTTCATGTTTCACCTTTCCATACCTCATCCTCAAAGTTAGAAATGTCGCTATTTCTCTTTGAAAATAAATTTCGATTTTTAAAAGAAACATTTGCGGTATAATTTTAATTTTCGTTTTACAATTTAAATATTGTAAAATGTCTGGCAATTATCTGAATATATTTAAATACTCCTTTATAAATAGGACCTGACCATCGAGGGAAAAACCATTTGTTTGTTCCCTATTTTAAATAAGAGATTTATATATATATGAAAAAAAAACAATATAAAAAAATAAAAGATAAGTGGGTCAGGTGTTGATATTAAAAATAAAAAAGGCATCTCCTGACCACGAGCATATGTGCTTTTTAGATGGCAGAGCGCCATCTAGTGGAGCAAAATTAAACTAAACATTCATTTAGCTTGCTCAGTGATATTTGGCCAACCCAATTTCTTGATAAATCAAGAAAAGCCATCCACGAACGCGTTTCGCGCTGTTGGCGCTCGTGGTCAGGAGATGCCTTTTTTATTTTTAATATCAACACCTGATCCACTTATCTTTTATTTTTTCTATTGTTTTTTCATGTGTTAAGCGTCTTTACGCAAATTTGGCCTTAAATACCCATTTCTTGATTTCTCAAGAAGCCTCTGGAACCAAAATTATTTTTGGTCGCAGTGGTTACAGCCTACCCCACGCTGACGAGCACCAACAGCGCGAAACCCGTTCGTGGATGGCTTTTCTTGATTTATCAAGAAATTGGGTTGGCCAAATATCACGGAGTAAGCTAAATAAACGTTTAGTTTATTTTTGCTCCACTAGATGGCGCTCTGCCATCTAAAAAGCACATGTGCTCGTGGTCAGGAGATGCCTTTTTTAATTTAATTTAATTTAAAAATGCCTATTTTGGATCATAAAGTTTTTATTTCCGATATTTCGTGTGGCAACTCGCCAAACTTCTTCGGGGAACAAGATTGTTTTGATAAGCTCGCGTATCAAAACAATCTTGTTCCCCGAAGAAGTTTGGCGAGTTGCCACACGAAATATCGGAAATAAAAACTTTATGATTCAAAATAGGCATTTTTAAATATTGCAATATATGGATTGCTATATACATATATTTGTATATACATATAAAAAGGCACCACTCCATTTAATTGTACATCAGAACGATGCAATATGTTCATTGCCATAGTAAAAACTCTACTAGCGGTGATGAAGCCACGACACCAGTTTTGGCAAATTCAGACAAAATCCAACCTGTGAGTCGCCCCTGTACTGATGAGTTACTTGTTACTTGAATAGATATTGTGTTAATTTAATGAAATATTTTTAAGAGGTGCGAAATAAAGAGAATCATTAAAACGTTTAAGATATTTGAATTGGTCTAAACTAATCATAGAAATATTTGTCCCCATATTCAACAATATAAAAGACATATTTTAGTAGTAATTTACATAATTACACAGGGAGATCTTCGTATTCCAGTTCTGCCAGTGTCGGGCGTTGCGTGGTCAGTCGGCTGTAGAGTTGGGACTGCCAGGTTTCCCGCCACAGGAAAACGGCGGACTGTTGTCAACGATGGTGGTCGACGCTCGATTCTGTGTTTGCGAGATGAACCAGGTGTTGCCGTGTTTGTGAAGTTTTAGGGTTGGCTATATCCTCACCGTACGTCAGCTGTTAGGCTAGTTCTGTTGGTGGCGCCTTCTTTAACAGTTTGCTTTAGTGGTGTTAAGTGTGTAGATAGTGCCTGCACGATAGCCACCCCGGGGGTGTTGGTAGTAAGCCTCGTGCTTGATCATCGACGTGCACTTTAGTTCGTAGAATCTTGGATGGTGAAGCCTGGCTATATGGTGCAGAGTGTCTCTTTGACTTCTTCATAGGTCCGAATAGATAACTCTTGGGTGATCTTGCACGGTTCACGTCTTAGTAATACTAAAGCCTTTTGAGTTTGTCGCCATGGAACCAAGTTGAGAAAACTCGTTTGAGCTTCAAGTTAAGAGAAGTGTACTTCAGCCCTTCTCCATCCTATGTGCTCACTTCTTCATGATGATGGATCAATAGTTGGTCAGGGAAGAGGGTGAGGGCACGTAGCGGTGTTATTAGTGTAGAGTCCAACGCTGAGACTTGTGAGGTTTGGTTTGTTCTAGATTGATCATTTTGAATCCGAGTATTCCTTTCATGATTTCTTCAAATACTGTCGACTGAAAGCCGATTTAGGTAGTAAGATGCTTGGCTTTCTTTGCAGTCGCTATGGCGGAGTGTCGCAGTAGGCGACACGGGTAAAGTCCAGGAAGAAAAAGCCGATTTTAACTGGGTGAAAGCGCTCGCAGGGTCGGCTAGGAAAGATGCGTCCGCTTCTGTTCTCATCCGCGGGTCCCATTGGTCGACTTGTGGCACAGTTGTGGGAAGTGTCGTTTAGTAGACCCATCTCCCTCTCTCTAAGGTGCTGTCGTACCGTTAACTTACGTATTGACTTCAAAGATGATATTCAAAATTATTTATTTATATAAACAAATTTTAATCAAAATAAATTAAAGCAAATATGATTGCGTGTGTGAATTGTTTGATATACTTTAAACATGTGCTAAGTGAATCTATATTATTACAAATATATAGAAAAGTTATGCTCTGAATTAGGTGAACGGATTATGTAATATATTCTACGAGGAGAGTTTAGTCAAAGAGATGTTGCGCAGGAAACAGCCCTCGGGACAAGGCAGGGTATCGGGGGTGGTGGAAGAGGCCCCGGGTCCCCTGGAGTACGAGCTGGCGCTGTTCCGGAGGTCCCAGCCAAATGAAGAGGCCTTCACCGCCCTGGTGACCGAACCTGTCACCCTGGGGACATTTCTGCAACTCCGAGCGGCCATCAACATCCAGTCTGGTGGGACAATTCTTCTTCCGCTGCGATAAACCTCAAGTAGTATACCGTCATCCATTTACTGCCTCAGGAGAGCTGTAGAACATCTTCGTGCCATAATTCGAACCAACATAAGATTCCATTCACCACTTGTTCTCCCCGCAGAGTGACCGCTTGCTATAAAACTGACAATATTTTATGGATGCTCGCTCAAAAGTTCTCGAAATCCTAGATAGAAATTTATAGATGAAAATTTTCCCTGGAGGAAATTGATCAGCAAAGGCGCCTCTCCCGTTGAAATAAACGCCAAAACTAGACGCCAACTATTGACCGTCGCCGCAAATTAGCGGCCTCGGGTCTGTGACAAAGCCACAACACCAGCTTTGGTAAACTGAGAAGCGTCCACCTGGAGACCCTGATTTCGCCCTAATGGCCCTATTCAGCCCAGGGCGGACTTTATTCGATGAGATCCAGAAGGGAATCTTCACAATCTTCCAAAGAGGTATTTAGTTGGTGAAATGACTGGGCCAAATCTATGACCAAGGTATAGATGTTTTTTTATAGATGAATTTCCTCCCGGCAAAAATTTTCATCTATATTTTGCCCATAGATTTGGTCTAGCCACTTTGCCAGCTAAACATCTCTTTTGGCGGATTGTGAAGATTTCATTTGATATCATGTGGATCATGGAATAAAGTTCGCCCTGGACTAAAGAGGGCCATTAGCCCGAAACCATGGCCTTCCGGTGGATGCTTCTCAGTCTGCCAAAGCTGGTGTTGTGGCTTTGTCACCGACCTGAGGCAGCTGGTTCCGGCTACGGTCAATATAGTTGGCGTCTAGTTTCTAAAAAATGGGCCACCTTTGATTTTATAAGAATTTATATGCACCAAAAGTGTCACCTCTCCCTATTCGAATGCAAACAATTCATTTTTGGGTTATCACCCTAGTACAAATCTTAGAGTTGGTGAAAACGAATGAGTCACAACGCAGGCTTTGGCAATTTAAGACAAAAAGACAACAACCTGTACACCATGGTTTCAGGCTTTGTCCTCATCAGTACAGGGGCGGCTTCATAACACGAGAGGAGTTATGAAATCAGTCGAATTGGCCAAAAAAGCGTTTTAAGCTGAAAGTGGCCGAAAGAATATATATTAATGTCGGATTGGTGTTTTAGGATTGTGTTGATCCTGTCGACTCTCTGTAGGATCCTG